CCAAATCAGAAGGAGCCAACTTCGAAAAACGCACACGGAGGCTCGCATATACCCTACTGCAACTCCGGGGGGGGGGGGGGACAACCAAAAAAGCCAGCTTTTCTTTGCTAAAGAGAAGTCCAGCCCACCCTGCCTGGCTTGGCTTGGCGGGGCGGGCGCTCCCGGCTCTAGCGGTTCCCTCGGCTTGTTTGGCTCGTTGGCCGCTTGGCTTCGAAGTCTCAGACGCTGGAAGGAAAGGAGCGCCTTAAATGCAACCGGGAAGAGTCGAAATACCGATTAGCCCGGAAGTAGCTTCCTCTCCTCTTCCCTCCGACCTCCCTTTCCTTCCCTGACAAAATCCTGGAGACACAACATAAAGGCAAACCGAGTAGGGGGGCGAGGAGGAGAATAAACGGCCGCCTTACCGAATCTCAACACATGTGTGGTGCCTTGAGAATATCCAATCCACATTAAGCAAAGCAGGAGCCGAGCGGTGCCTCTGAAGACTGGATGAGTTAGAATCGGGGAAATAATCTTCATGGTGTTTCCTACGCACACCCGCGCCGCTTCCCTCGCCGGCCCCCTTTGCTTCAAGCGTCAGGTTTCCCCCGCGGTCGGGTAAAGCGCCGAGGAGGAGCCGTAGTAAAAAGTGCCTGGCCCTGAGACGCGATCACGGCATGGTCACAACGGAGGCAAGGGACTCTCCGCTTCCCGGCGCCGCCAGCCTAGCCTGCATGCTCTTCATTCACTGCGCCAAGGAGCAGCCTTCGACTGCAAGGAATGGTGGGACATCCATGGTAGCCGGGCGAGCGGGAGCGGAAGGAGGGAAGAGAGGAATCCGGGAGAAATCCAAAGACGGAGGTTGCGGGCGCCTTGGCCAGCCGGGCGAACCTAGGAGGAAAGCGAAAGGAGGGGGGCGAGAGAGAGAGAGAGAGAGAGAGATCAATAGGCGATCCGAGCGGGCGAAACCGCCACCGAGCAAGAGGCGGGCGCTCGCTTTGGCCGATGGGTTTCCCTTCCACTGAACTGCCGCACAGCTTCTGACGCGCAGCCAAAGATGAAGTGTGAGAAACGGAGACAGCTCGCCTTGTGTTCAGGCCGCCAGCTAAGGCGGCCTTTCCCCCCACGGTTTCTCTTATTCAAGCCGAGGCCATCGCCGACCCAACCTTTTGGGAGTAAACCGTGTTACATTTTTGAAAGGAACGTGGCGGTCGTGACGTGCCTGGCGTTTGGTTGATATCCTTCCAATAACCTGTTGTTGTTTTTCCTGGGCGGTGAGCAAATTGGCTACTTTAAGCGGGAACAGCTAAAGCAGCCGAAACTGAGGCGAGGGCGTCTGCGGAAGTGTGGGTCAAGTGACTGACGGGGAAGGAGGTTTGCATCCCGGATTCACCTGTTTGGAGCCCGAAGTCCCATTCTGGGCCCTTCTCAACATTGCTCTTCCAATTTGGTTTCCGTGGGATGGGCGTCAATTTCAACCCCAAAGTCTGGAAACTGAGAGCGGATCGATTTCCATAGAAGCAGCTTCAGGATTTAGCATGAAGAGCAAACAAGAGCGCTCCATCAAAATTAAGTCACCGCTGACTGATGGGTGACAGAACATCCTTTCTTAAGACTTGGGGGAAAATGACGTTTCTGTTGATTCCAAATGTATACCCCGAACCAATAGGCATTTGCTTTTCACAAGTATCCATTCATTCATTGAATCAATCCACACAACTAATTTTACATAAACCCATAGGAAGAATGACAGACAGAATGAAATGCTTATCTACAACCAAAGCTGTCATTTGATGTCAGACTACCTGGAAGGAACTTATATATACTGAGTCCAGGAAGCTTACTTTATGTAGACCTATATTGTATATGATTACATGCTGTTGTCAGAAATAATAGAGAGTGAAGGAAACATTTTTTTTTCCACATTCCTAAGCTCTTTTCTCATTTATATCCTATTACAAAAGTTCTGTTTTTAATGTCCTTTATCTACCTTTGTAACAACCACTACGTGAAACACCATATAAACTGTAGCAAATGTAACCTAAAAAACATCCTCCAGGTTCAATCATTTGTAGTTCTTAGTGAAGTCCTTACTGGAGATAATGGAGATATCTGGAAGTCTTAGGTACCTTTAAACTTAATAGGAATTCCTGTTGTCTAGAGCTGAACAGAGTAATCTGAGAAACTTTTCATCTCTCTTTTTTACTTCTCCCCCTTCTCTCTCTCTCTCTCTCTCTCACACACACACACACACACACACAAACACACAAACACACAAACACACACACACACATGCTTATTAGATTAAAGACATACACTATATTGCCAAAAGTATTCGCTCACAACTGCTTCTGATTATTTGGATGGGTGAGCGAATACTTTTGGCAATATAGTATATTTACTTGGATCATGTTTAAATCGGAAATACAACTGAGTTTTTTAAAAAAAAATTGAGTGGAGGAGAAGGGGACTCATTAAAACACATTTTGTGGAGAACACAAATCTTTTTGCATTTCTTGATAGAAAGACATTGTCATTCATTCTTAAGGAATGATTATGGATCAGGGAGAGAGAGATGGGTAACTTCCATTACTGTCTTATGAAAGTGAATGGAGATTTATTCTGTCTGGGAATGCTCCCCTCCCCACTTTAATGCAGATGAAGATCCAAAAGACTTTCTATAAATTAAGATGACACGGAACCACATCAACAGTGTCACAATCTATCTCTCATTAAGACTGTGGAATGGGGGAGGGCGGATAGACCCAACTCGCACCAAGAAATTTAGAATCTGATTCTTCTTATTCTGTCTTGTGCCTTGCTTTATCTAAATCACCTGGGATTCATTTGATTCATCTAGGAGAATAACAATTGGATGTTAATATGATAGGTTGCACCTTTCATGCATCCATTTCAGACCAAACTTGTTATGAAGCAATTCCTTGATGTGATACCCTTCATATGTAAGCAACCACAGTTTCCATAATCCCCCAGGAATACTGCTGAGAGGATTTGATGTCAAGATGGGTAAGGCTACTTGTCATGAAATTACTAAGATTTATGATTGTTAAAGCTTGTGTTATGGGAAAACAAATCAGAATAGCTTTCTACTATTAAGGTATTTATCATATCTTCAATTGAACTGAAATTTATATATTAATAAGGAATAAATAACCTTGGGATTTTTTTTACTGTTAAAATTTGGAACTTACAGGGATGTCAAAAGTAAATATCAGGAATGGCTACTTCTGCAGACTAACAGGCAATTCAATGGAAGGGGGGAGTTATTAACAATGAAAAGAAGGGGATCTAGCGACCCCTTCAGGGCACTACTGAAATATTTTACCATGAAACTGCAGTGTGAGATTGTCTCTATTGGATATACTATTCATTTCATAATACTTTAATTTAGATCAAAAACAAATACAAGGTAATACAAGGTAAAACCAAGCTTATATTAAAATGAATAAATATAATGCTAATTTGGTGTCTCTAGAGGAGACAATATAGTTTTGAAAATATATTTCTTTTATTTGTAAGACTTCCCTTTCAAAAAAATGTTGTAACTTAAATTTATTAACAGTCACTGCTAGATTTGAATCCTGTTATTAATTTCATTAGGATTTTTGTATTTTCTTTGTTTTTCTATCTAGTCAGCTTGCTGTTATTTTATAAGACTCACCAGATTCTTTTATCTAGGAAACTGAATTTTGGCATGAGATATTGCATCTGTTTTTACTTTGCAATACTCTTTACTCTCAACTTTTGTTGGGTGATTGTGAATCAGAAAGATATCATCAAATCTACTTGCTGGGTTTTTCTTTTTCTTCTTTCATCCTGTCCTATTTTTGGAGACTTCCTGGACAAATCCCTACAATTTTCTTGGTAAGGGTTTTCAGAAGTGGTTTGCCCTTGTCTCTTTCCCAGGGCTGAGATAAAGTGACTGGCACAAGGTCACCCACCTGGGTTTTGTGCCTAAGATGGGATTAAAACTCAGTCTCTTGGTTTCTAGCCTGATGCCTTACCACTATGCTAAACTAGAATTTTAGTAACTAAATATTGGTTCTCTTTTCAGTACCATGGAGAGCGACACACATTTGATCTTGCTGGATGCTGTATATAAGTGCAAAATATGTTGTAAAATGTAAAAATAAAATCACCCTATCAGGGTTTTTTTTAATACAAAAAGAAACAAAATAGTTTAACTACTGATTCTGATTACCTAGTTCACACTGTTTATTCAAACATAATGTGAAATTATCCCCTAATCCCAAATTCTCATTTTAAAAAAATCAGGATTGCCCAAGATTTAGAGCTGCTTAAATTACAGGGCAAAATTATCATGCTTAGGGTGTTCAAGTCTTATAAATGATTACTTGCAATGGTTGTGAGTTTTCTTCTATATGCAAAACCTTTTCCTCAATTATTATTCCTTAATTCATTTTGGTCCTAGATTTTTTTAAAAAAAATATTTAAATATGTGGTGTTTTTTTTAAATGAACATGCCTCAAGAGGAATGCACCATATTAATGATAATTTTCTGAAATAACTAGTTTTTAATTTATTTATCCAGATATGGCAGGTCTGTTATAGATACGTATACATGTATTTCAGATAAGTGGCCCTTGACACTGCTCTTTGAATTGCAGTGAGTAGAGGAGAAGCTTTAAATATTCAGTTCCATGCTTGGGTGCCATTGGCAACTTGATGTACTCTTTTTCTTCAATATTTAAAGCCTAGCAAATAACATATTTGTTTCCTGCCTGAGCCAAGTATGCAGGTAAAATGGAAATGAAATGCCTACATCAAGAATATAAGGCTGGTCTGTGAAAAGCATGAAGCCAATCCAAAATTGTCTGTGCTGGACAATAATGTTACGTCAAGCTTTTAGAGTTGCATGATGTTGAGAGATCATTTTTGGGTACTATCTCCCATCAGCACTTTCCTCATCACTACCACATATTGGTCTAGGGGAAAAAAAACAATTCATCAAGTTTTCTTTCTTAAAAGCATACATATGCTTCCCCCCAAAACCTTGAAAAATTTGTTTCATCTACAGGTTAAATTGACTCCATCTGGGAAGGACTTAACAAGACTGATGGCATGTCTACTGAGAATTAATTAGATTGAATTCATTAGGATTTATTCCCAGTATAATCTGACAAAACTAGGATGGCTTTAAAGTTGTAAAGCTAGGTGCACTCTACAAAGCTTAGGAGTTCAATCCCAGTAGAGAGACTTGAAATAAGACAATCTTGAGTCAATATACATAAATGATGTGGGTAGTCTTTCGAGCCTTTCCTGGCCTTTGTTTGATGCACCTTTCCTCAAATCCTGCTGTGGCCAAAGAATCTTGAGATGTACTTTCTTAATATATAGTTGATACCTTCTGTATCTTCCAAAACTCTGCTTGTAAGTAGACAGAGACCTTTTCATAGCTTTACAGAAGTAAACCAGGCCACCTTCTTTCTGTTGACTGTTCAAAGTATTCAAATAAATGTTGATATTTCGGTAAATGTTGATATTCTGCTTCTTTAAAACATCCCATGGACCTCACAGAATCCACTTGTTTTCCACTCCAAACAAATGATCGATTCCCCCCCTTTGCCTGTTATTAGCTCAGCCAAAGATTCACGGTCTTTCCGTTTCTGCTGAGCCCATGATTAATGGCATTTTAAGATGGTAATTAATTTTTAGCTGCCTAAGAGTTGTGCATCCTAATTAAGGAGCTGAGGAGATGATAGATTTACTTGTTCCAGTACTTTTTTGGGGAGGACTCCATCACCGCCATGCAATTCTTTGCAAGATTTTTAACCATGGGAATGCAAATATTTGTGATTTGAGCCATGCATTTCTCCTACACCCCTGCCACCTTATCTTGAAGTCCGCCTGCTTGCCTTCCTGCCTTCTTTCTTTTCAATCAACACTCAGGCTTTCCTCCATCCTTATTTTCCTAAAGATTTTACATATATGCAACACTTCATTGTAAGGTTCATTGTTCCGACCGCTGCACAAAGAAGCTTCTGACTAGCATTTTCATTGTTGGGCATAGACTGCTGGATCCTTTAGAAGCATGACAACTGAGTCAGATTCCATAAAATAGGTTTCACTTTCTTAAGTCCTAGTTTATTTAATAATGTGCCAGATTATAAAACACAATATTTTTTTAAAAAAAAAACTATTGGTTTTGGTGATTGAATGTGTACCACAATCTATCCAAGCTAAAAGCCTAATCTAGAAATCAATTAAACAGAGATGCCTGGCTTACAGCCGAATAAGGATCGCTTGGCAGCAATAACTCCTAGATAAGCCGGAATGTATTAAAACGGCTGAGTCCGATTGGATTCAGTCCAAGAACTTCGGTGTATCTTGGCGATAGGTCGGACTGAGAAGAGGGTTCAGTGCCAGAAGAATGGCTTAGCTGATTGCCGATCAGGTGGCGGATAGGGCGGCTTCTTTCTGACTTTTGCACAAAGGCTGCATCCCACACACTTTCAAGCAATCCTACTGCAAACAGGGGTTGTGGTGAGAAGCGGAATGTGGTCGCGAAAACTACCTTTCCAACAAACCAGATCTATCGCCAAGATA